ACTTGTTAACTGTAGACTCGCTCTAACCAGATCATATAAGTAAGTGATTCATAAAACTGTAGACTCACTCTGACTGCAGTATTTGAACCATTGAATCACTAACTGTAGACTAACTCAGATCAGATCATTTGAATCTGTGAATTGTTAAACTGTTGACTCTTTCTGTCCAGATAAAAAAAAAATCTGTGATTCATAATGCTGTATATTTGCTCTGAATATTTGAATCATTGATTCACTGACTGCACATTCTCTCTGAACAAATAAATTGAATCTGTGAACCATACTGTATAACTGTAGACTTGGCTCTATCTGGAATCAGTGAACTAATTATAGACTTGCTCAGACTGGATCTTTTGAATCTGTGAACTTTGGACTTGCCCTGGACAGGTCATATATGGATCAGTAATTCATGGCACTCTAGAATCACTCTGAATGGTTTATTTGAGTCAGTATTTTGTTTACTTTTGGCTCACTCTGATTTATCATTTTGGTTTGGAACAATGCTACAGTATGCTACAGATTGACTAAATCGTTAAAATTAGTGGGTCTTTAGTCTCACTTTTACCTGATCATTTGAATGAGTGAGTCAGTGACTGTAGATTCACTCTGACTGGACTATTTGAATCAGTGAGTTTTAGTCTCATTTTGACTGGATCATTTGAATAAGTGAGTCTTTAGTCTCCATTTGACCTGATCATTTGAATCAATGAGTCAATAACTGTTGACTTGCTTTGACTTGACTATTTAAATCAGTGAGTTTTAATCTCATTTTGACCAAATCATTTAAATCAGTGAGTCTTTAGTCTCACTTTAACCAGATCATTTTGATGAGTGAGTCAATGACTGTAGACTCACTCTGATTGGATTATTTGAATCAGTGAGTTTTTAATCTCACTCTAACTGGATTATTTGAATCAGTGAGTCTTTAGATTGACTCTGACTGGATCATTTAAATCAGTGTGTTGTTTAATATGAACAGATGCAGTTTGCTAAGTGATTTATTAACTGACAAGATTTTAGTCTTAACATTTGGAGCTCTATATTATGTACTGGGCACAAAGTCTAAAGCGCATGATGCTGTGCGCACTCCAGTGATCACATTCATTAGCCTACATATTTAATTTCATTTGTTAAGCGCAAAGATTTGTTTCAAAACTATTTCTAAATTCAGTTCTAGTTTCCAGGAAACAAATAAATGAACAATAATAATGAAGTGTTGTCAAAATTGGAGTTATAACCAAACACACACCCTATTCTAATGCCCCACATGGTGAAACATACGTCTACTAGACGCAACAGATGGACAACTCTAAACTTGTTATTTAAAAAAACAAAAAAACATGCATATAATAAATAAAACTGCTAATAATAATAACATTATACAAATCCAAATTGTCATGAATAAACTTTAAAATTTGAAGAAGGCATGGAGGTTGTGGCATTTAAATTTATACAAAAAAATAATAATTTGTGTAACATTTTATTCCTTTAATTTTTTTCAGATGTAACAGTATTTGTGTATTATTTTACATCCTGTGTGTATTAAACAATGTATAAGCGTTTTGGACCTGCATAGGCACATAAATAAAGCGCTCTGCGCTGGACTTCAGACCAGGTTTCAGTTGGTCAGTTCCTCAAAATAGCAACGCGCCAACAATGCGCCTTAACACACCTCCTTTTCAGATTGAAACACCCATGAGTCCACAATGTGGCACTAATGGATTTGCTATTTAAATAACATGGTGCAAACGTGAAAATTAGGGTTGCGCTGGTCTGAAAATAGCAACAAATCACACCAAACACGTGCACCTTATTGCGCCGGGTGTAAGATTGGGTTCTTGGAATTGTGGTCAAATAAATAATACATTTTTATAAATAAAATGTAAGTATATATGCTTCAAAATGCATTAAAGTACAGTAGTAAAGAAAAAATACTCCACACTTTACTTTTTATTCTTTTTTATTGACAATGTTAGGGCTCTTTTTAGTTTTTAATCAGTTGTGTACTTTAGAGTTTTATGTTACGTCATAATGTTAATAGATAGTGTTTATTTAATGTACTTAAGCTTTATATGTGTTGCTATGATAGTGTTTAGTAGTTGATGCTATGAGTGTTGTTTACTGTGTTAATGAAATACTGTAAAAATAAGAAAGTCTTTCAGGGTTTTCTACCAAATATTTAGTGATATAGTTCTGGCAACCACAGCTGCCAGTATTAAACCATAAATTTAACAGATTTTTTTTAATAGTGTAAAAGTTCATCCAGAGGACAGAACATTGAGCTCCAGCCACTGCTGAAATGGCCTTTGCCCTTTATATGAATAAAAAGACACTATAAAATTATCTGCTGTTATTGGATGATCAATACTGAATTTAAAGTCTCAAAGGTCCTGTGGGTGTGAAGCAGGATTTGACTGACAGCACTACTAGAGGCAAAACTAACAACAAAAGACCTTTTTATGAAGGTCTGCCATATTGTGTTTGTTTTATTTTTTCATTGTGTGTGTGGTGCGAAAATAAATTGCTCAGACATTGGAAAACTGCTTCTCACACCAGCTTGTTAAAAAGCCAATTATGTCAGTGGTGTAATGGCCATTGTCAAGCACAGCGGATTATTTGTGTCCGGGTCTTCATTTTTCAATTCGTCTGAAACCTTGTATGGGTCAAAGAGACAGAGTAAGAGAGGAGACCAGAAGAGTATCATAATATTACTAAAAGGAGGAGATGTGTTGAGTTAGAGCACTAGAGTGGCTGAAAGGGACAAAATTAAACCCACTGGGGATAAACATGTTCATGTAAACCCTTGGGACACGGCAGCAGCTCATGGGATGTGTCTGTGTTGTGTGTGGGGTTTGCTGAGATGTCCATTGGGAATGCATTTTGGTGCGGAGATATTGAGAGAGCACAAAATTAGTGCTGCGATGAAACCCCCTGTAAGCCAGAACTATTATAAATATTTGATGTAAAACATGACCACAGCAGTAGAGAGCCTTCCTCAAGACAAATGTGGACTACTTTATCAAGAATCTTGAGGGAAGATTAATGTCCCAGACTACATTTAACATCAACGTACTGGGGTTATGATACTGTAATACATTTCCCCACCAATCTGTTTCTGTTTTGGGTTGTCTTTTCTCCTGTTTTCTTTTTTTTTAATGTTTATGTTTTTTTCTGTTTTCTTTTTGTTTTTTGCTTGTTTTGTTTTAGATTTTTTTTCTTCTGATTTAATTTTGTATTTATTTAGTTTGTATATGTTTATGTTCAATAATCATTATCTTAGTTTACTTGCATTTTTCTGCTCACGTTTGTTTTTTACTATAATATTGTTTGAATTAGTTGTGCTTTTTTGTGTTTTTTTTCTCATCATTTTCTTTTTGCTTAGATTCGTTTTTGTTACTTTTTTCCTGTTTAGTTTTTTTGTTCCATTTTGTTATGATTTTATTCCCTTTATAGGTTGTTTTCAATTATGACGTTCAGGTGATGCGCGGAATTCCTATGGAGGGTAGGGAGTAAAAAGCTGAATGGGAGACATAGAGAAATGTCCATATTTTTGCATTGTATATCATATTTCAAAGGAGATATAAATAGAAAATAATCACATATGTTGGGCATAATCTTTATATCATAAAGAGGGCAGAGTTTTCTACTGAACTGAAATATATCTGCCTGTCATCGAGGTGGAAGTACTATAGATAATTACTTGAATTAAAGTATCGTAGTAATTATGTTGTTGCTGTGGTACGACACTACTGTGGTAATAAACAAATTATTTAATAGGCTTCAGTTATTATACACCATTACAATGCACCTCCGATTACCCTAACGCTACAGTATTTTTTAGTTTATCAGTTTACTATGCTACAGTAGTATACATTATACACTTTACCATAGTGTGGTTCAAAAACCAGTTGATTATAAATTAAACTAGTTTTTTTTCCATGTGGGTACCAGATATCATGAAATGTGAAAGCGTACAAAAGCGTGGACGCTTAGTCTCCATCAGCGGTTCTCAAACTTTTTTCATCAAGAACCACCTCAGAAAAATATTGTCTCTCCAAGTACCACCATAATGAGCAGTATTGAAATACAGTAGCGTAGCAAGCCCAGTAAAGCAGCTACAGCTCTGCAGGTCTAAAATGTGGCAGATTAATTTCTATTATTAAGAATATTTATTATTGTCAGCCATTTTAAACATTATAAAAAGTCTGAATGTTAACACTGTACTGTGCTTATATGTAAAAATATAAAATAAAATAAACAAACTAAAAACTAAAAACGTCAACATTTGAATTAAAATGTGATTTTAAAAGCTGAAAATGGTAGGTTGATGTTCTTAATAAGTAAAAAGAAAAGTGCTGTACTTAAATGTAAAGTATTAACATATAGTAGCCAATTCATCAACACCTGGAAATGTTGCCTGGGCCTCAGAAATATAGGCTACATGTCATATAATAAATAATATTATATGTCATATTCATATATAAATCATTTTTGATCAATTTTGAAATATATGTAGCAAGTACATATGACACATTTGATATCTCTGCGCACCACTAGTACACGTACTACACATACAGTACCGCAGTTTGAGAACCACTGGTCTACATTATTATTTATTATTAATTTATTTATTTATATTTGTAAGCGGGGAAAGTGCTCCACAGTAATAACGATGAACTTACGAATTTAGTTTGTGACAGAAGAATTGTAGTAGCATGTGTCTTTATTATAAATAAATATATCCAGGTTTATCTGTTTTCTCTTTTGCTTAGTTTTGTTTGGTTTACATTATGTTTTGTTTAGGTAAACTTTTATTCCTTGTTGGGGTTTTTTTGTAGTTGAATTTGCTTTGTTTTGTTCTTTACCTTCAGATTTGTTCTTAAATGTTGTTTTCCTTTGTTTTGTTACCGCCTAAAAATGTAGTAGCACAAAGTGTATGTATGCTTAAGCTAAATGCATGTGTTTATTTCTGACTTTCTGTTTTTGTGTTTTTTTTTTAGATCAAAAGGATGTTGAAATGATGAGCCAGACAGGTATGTCTTTCTTGTATGATCATTCATAGCTAAGAGATTTTGTTTTCCCTGAAACTGACCTTCTGGCATAAAAGCTTGAGAGAGTCATTTCCAAGTAGTTATAGTTTACAAGCAAGAAAAGCAGATCTGTGGACTTACTACTTTATATTAATTTTCTTAAAGATACATCACTTTGAAATGTCTTGTTATCATAGTATTTAAATTCTATGTCATTTGTCTAAACGTAATGATTTATTTTATTCACTACAACTTGCGGCTGGTTTTTGTTCCTGAACCAGAACTAAACAATAACACTAATTTAATCGGTCAAAACTTTAACTATATTAAAGATGGGATTTAAAACTTGTGATGCTGTAATATCAAAATTTATTATCGCACTGAAGTTTCTCTTTCTCAGTGAGCCATTAAAAAAAGGAGATGTTTGATAATCAAACATCAGCTGGAGTCTTCCCTGTTCCTCTTCACAGAAGAATTTGCTCTTTCATTTCAGCTTGCCAGCAGCAGGAGTGATTAGATAACAATCATCTTCTCTTCTTTAATATGGGATTAGCCACTGCAGTCTGATGAAAGCACCACAAAAAGATTTTTCTTGCTTGATTTTTTTTAGGAGGGATTTAAGAAGAAAGACACAAATCTTGTCATTAAGTTTTTCTCTTGTTTGATTTCAGAGGAAACCCAAGAAGATGTGCCGATGGATAGCCAGAAGCCAGGTTTTTATCTTTCTTTTTTCTCTTATCCAGTATTAGTCTGGATTACTATAAGCATCAACAACATAATGCTTATGCACAGAACACTTTCAGTAGCCCGTAAATGAAATTGATGAAATATCACTGTTTTAAAATAAATTTAGCAATTTTATATGCAAAAATACTTCATAGAAATTAGTTTCTAATGTGTTGTTTGGTCAATTACGTTACAGGTATATTGTGGTTTAAGTTATGATTTAAAGTATTTGGACTCTTTCTATTTCAACTAACACCAATCTGAAAAAGATCTAAAAAGTGAGGGAGCTGTGAAAAATAAAGTTTGTTTAATTAGTTCGCTTTGCATTTATTTAATCAAAATATATAATTAAATTTAAAATAAATATTATCAATATTTTATTTCAATATCTGAAAATTGAAGCGAGCTGTAAAAAAATCTATATCACTTTGCATTTATTTGATTAAAATATATTATTTGAATTGAAAATAAATATTTTCAATATTTTATTTTGTTTTGATTTATTTTATTTTATTTTTCATTTTATAGAATAATTTTTTTTTATTTTAATTTAATTTATATTATTTTACAACCTAAAAAGTAAAGATAGCTGTTAAAATAAACTTAACATTAGTTTGTTTTGCAGTTATTTGATCAAAACATGATTTAAATTTAAAATAAATATTATAAATATTTTTTTCAATATCTGAAAATTGAAGCGAGCTGTAAAAAAGTCTCACCATTAGATCATTTTGCATTTATTTGATTAAAATATATGATTTGAATTGAAAATAAATATTTTCAATATTTTATTTTGTTTTAATTTATTTTATTTTATTTTATTTCTCATTTTATTTAATAAGTGTTTTTATTTGATTTAAATTTAATTTATTTTATTTTACAATCTGAAAAGTGAAGATAGCTGTGAAAATAAACTCAGCATTAGTTTGTTTTGCAGTTATTTGATCAAAATACATGATTTTAATTTAAAATAAATACTGTAATTTTATTATTATTTTTTTATTATTAATATTTTTTTAATTTTATTTAAAAATCTGAAAAGTGATGATAGCTCTAAAAAAATAAACTCGCCATCAGTTCGCTTTGCATTTATTTGATCAAAATATATGATTTAACTTTAAGGATAAAAACGTTCAATGTTTTATTTTATTTAATTGCTTTAAGAACAATTATGTAGAACAACATTACTCTATTAATTAATTTTATTTCAACATTATTTATCAGAGAATCTGGAAAAACAAATTGCTGCACAATTTCCACAAAAAATATGAAGTACGTGGAAATAAAGGTTTAAACATTGATGATATTAGGTATAATATTTTACAATATTCAGTCAAATAAATACAGCCTTACTGAGCAGGAGTGCCTTCTTATACTTTAAAAATATTTAACAATTCTTAACACTTCCAAACTTCTGATCACTAGTGCATGACGTTCATACATATTTAAATAATCTCAAGTCTCCAAAAATGTACCAATGCTTGTTTAAACCACTATATACTCCCAATTTCTCAGAACATAAGACCAATTAGATCAGAAAATATGCAAAACAGGTTTGTCTGTGTATCTTGCTATGCACAGATTTTACTCAAACACACGTCATCTTCATGCTAGTGGAGGAATAAATTTATGAAGTCTCTCTGGTCTTTCCGCTTCACGTGTCACGCTGTACCCATTCACTGAAAGCTCTGCCTCCGTTGTCCTTCAACTCCTCTCATTACGGACAGGGAGAGTGGCTGTCAGTTACAGTTATTACCGTGACGCTTGCGTGTGTGTGTGTTTAATGAGACACCTCGCTCCAGTCCACACGAACGTACACAGACAGACATCAGAACATGTGCACAGACAGACACACACCAATGCACACGCTCAAATGATCACTTGTACACACACACACACACACATATGCCTGGCTCCCCCTGGGTATTCATGTAGCGTGATCGAAACTTTACGGTCAAACCCTGAGGACAAAACCAGCCAGGGTCTGCCTCTGCTCGCCTCGCTAACGTTGAGCTTGCGCTTAATGTCACTTTGACTGCAGAGCTCTGAATGGCATTTGCACACTCATAAGCTGCTGTTTTGTTTTTGATTTGGAGGTATTCACTGTGTGTGTGTGTGTTTGTGTGTGTTTGTGTGTGTTTGTGTGTGTGTGTGTGTGTGTGTGTGTGTGTGTGTGTGTGTGTGTGTGTGTGTGTGTGTGTGTGTGTGTGTGTGTGTGTGTGTGTGTATATTTATTTATATATATATTTATTTTATATATATATTTATATTTTTTTTTTTTGACATCCTTATTGCCAACTTTTGGTTTACTTATATCACACCAGCATTTATATAGGTGTGAATATGAGCAATATCAAGAGAAGAAGATTATACAAAAATCAAACCAAACCCTGTAATGTATATGATACTCTTTCAGTCTTTTTTATGTGTTGTATGTACAGATCCAGTTAAATTTTTATTCTTTTTTTTAAAGTATTTCCAAAGTTTCGTTTAACAGAGAACAGATTTTTTTCAACACCTTTTTAAGCATTATAGTTTTAATGAGTATTTTCTAATAGCTCATTTACTTTGTGTTTTATCTTTTTGTTTTTGTCTATTAATATTTTGCAAGGTAGTATTCACTTTAAAGTGAAAATTTAAAGGCTTGACTAGGTTAATTAGTTTATCTAGGCAAGTTAAGTCATATATTTGAGCCACACAAGTAGCAGTGCAATGTGACTGTATATCGGCACTGGTGGGAGGCGTGAGTTGGCTCAAGGCCACAGGCCCAGGGCCTTATATCACCAGTGACGATATACAGCCATATCACACTGCTATGAGTGTGATTTTTCATTTATACAGCAGTTCGACTTTATAATCATGTATAGAAAAAAAGACACAATCAAACACAGAGAGTTTCAAAAATCCTTTTTTACGACAGCCGAAACCATTGCTACTTCACCAATGTTACTTTAGAGCTAGTATTTAAATGATTCTCTTGAGTATTATTTAAAGTGATGACAAAACAGGTGATTTTGTTCACATTTTAAGATTATAAGGCTAAACGGCATGAAATGTCATCAGACTAGAGACATTTCCCAGTGATTCTCTGTTGCAATCAGGATATCACAAAAAAATATACAAAATAAACTGCATAGTTGCAATCTAAGCAACTGCATTCTTGCCTAAAAAAGGTTCAAAAGTACATTGTTGTGAAACAGCTGCAATATTTGTCAAACTGTAGTGAGTTTATTGATCCGCTGTCACTCTGTGTGGGTTCTGATATTGGCTATATATATTTATATATATATAAACTGCTTTTATTCCAGTCAAACTGAAGGAAATACTACTTTCTCCAGAAGAATATAATAGATCTGAATCTGTGAAACATCACTTAGGAAATACATATTTTAAAAAAAGAATTACAATTTTACAGGATTGCTAATCATTTTGCCTTAAACTGAACTGTATGTACCGTTGAAGTCAGAATTATTTGCCCCCCTAAATTATTAGCCCCCCTGTTTTTTTTTTCCCCCAATTTCTGTTTAACGGTGAGAAGATTTTTTTCAACACATTATTGAACATAATAGTTTTATAAACTGAACATAATAACTCATTTCTAATAACTGATTTATTTTAGGTTTGCCATATTTTTCAAGACACTTCTATACAGCCTAAAGTGACATTTAAAGGCTTAACTAGCTTTTTTTAGGTTACCTAGGCAGTTTAGAGTAATTAGGCAAGTTATTATCTTTAAAGGGCTAATAACTTTGAAATTAACCCTTAAAATAGGTTTAAAAAATTAAAAACTGATCTATTCTAACCGAAATAAAACAAATAAGACTTTCTCCAGAAGAAAAACTATTATCAGACATGCTGTGAAAATTTCCTTGCTCTGTTAAACATAAATTGGGAAATATAAAAAAAAAGAAATAAAAACTCAAAGGAGGGCTAATAGCTATGACTTCAACTAATATTCATTCATTTATTTATTTAAAAAATAGAATCAAAATGTTTTATATGCGGTTTTAATCTAAAAAAAAAATTAAAGATATATATACATTTTTTATACATATTTACAGATTTATTCAATGTATATATCTTTATAGGTCATGTACCTGTATGGATATTTTGTTTTTCTATAGATATAAACTCACAATATCTCTCACAATATCTCTCAAAAGATCGCTCACAGACACATCCACATAAACTCAGTAGCGCTGTCCCATGCAGCTTACTGTCTTGGTACCAGTTTTTTTTTTTTTTTTTTTTTTCCCATGACATCCTCATCGCCAACTTTTGATTTACTTTCTCCTACCATCATTGACGGCTGTAGCTATAAGCATTATTTATAGTAGTCTAGCCAAGCAGAGGAAGCAGAAGCACATGTTCTGCTTGGACTGAACACAAGAGCCAGTTATGATCCCTAGAGAAAAGCAAAACACAGAGGTTTTTAAGACCAGGTGAGACGGAGCTGGAGATGCACAGAGACAGAGGCTAAATCTGAATTTACCTGAGTACCGAGCACCTGCGACGCATGAATCATTGCCATATGAGCGCAGATCAGATGCAACTGCAAAATTTGTGTTTTATGTTTTTAAATGCATTCATTGAACAATGTGCATTCTGGCCTGTTTATGTTAAATGTATAATAGAATGTCATACCTAATTATTTAAAGGTTCTTGTTGAAAAATGGGGGAAACTTGTGATTTGCAGGATAGTATTAGGATTTAATTGAACAATTAATTAGTATTTGGGGCTGCACTGCGATCTTTCAATTGAGCTTTTTAATGTGGTAAAAATGTGCTTGTTGTAAATATTCCTGACAAGATTTTTTGGTGTACACAGGGTTAGAAATTAAGACCTGCCAAATCAACCATGGCGGCTAACACATATCAACATAGTAGCCAATTTGGCATGTTATGATTTATAAATTATGTTATCTTGTTATTGCCGTCAGCTCTTCCCCTAAAGGGAGCCTGAAACATTATAGCAAAACAAAGTGTAAAGAAGGATGCACACTGAACGTCTTTTAAACCCAAACATAACCCTTACAGAAACACTACACAGATTACAATTACTTTAAAATCCCATGTGAGACATTTTTTTAAGGTAAACATCTCTGATTCACATTCATATTGTGAAGCTCATGTGTTTTTTTTATTTGGAATATATAGAATAATACACTGTAGGTTATCCTTTCTTGTTCTGTTTGTTTGTATGTTCAAATACTTTAATTCAAACTCATTGAAACCGCAGTCTTAAAGCGAATATGTATAGTGATTAGATAGTTGTCATATTCAAAGGTGTGCAATTATTTTAAATGAAAAATAGATTGCATTTGCCAAATTTTTATTTTCTTAAAAGATCCTTACAGTCTTTAATAGCTAAAGAAAAAGTTGACCTAAGAACCAACCTAAAAATACAGATTAAGACAAAGTATAATGTACAGTTTTAATTGTATACAATGTTAATTATATAAATGTGTTTTTATTTCAGTTTATGTGTGTATAATCATTTACACACATGGCCATATAACTCTGTACAAACAGTTTTAAATCCTACTGACAAAGAGTTTGTGTGAATTTTTAGTTTTTCCATAGACAACTGGAGGATTACAATTCACACCCTGGCTGAAAACATTTCATTTCAGCAGGAAAAGCAAGCCAAGCTTGGCAAAATAAACAATTTATCCTGAAAATGAATGACACCCATATTGTTTTCTCTGCATTGGCATCTGTGCTTGTGTCTCTGGAAGGTGCATGTGGGTCTCTTGGCTCCAGATATTTCATGAGAAGTCTAATGGTTTTTCTGTTTGTATTTTTTTAAAGCTGACAGCTCCCAAGCCGAGACACTGGACAAGGAGAACAAAACGCCTGAAAAGGGAGACCCAAGAGGTAACATCTCCAGTCTATCTGCTGCAAACATTTGAGGTTTTTTTTTTTGTGATTCAGTGGAAGTCTGTAAGCACAACTTTGTAATTTTGGCTCAAGAGGTTATTGACATAATTTTAAGAAACTGAAAAGATGCTCCTCATCCATATTGCCATTTTCACTGTATTTCAGAAAAACTGTTTTATTCATATTTTTAAATAAACATGAATAAGAGACAATAACAATATGAATGCTTAAAAATGGATTAAAATGTGTTATAAAGGTTTTAAAAGAATGTAAACGAAGAAAAAGACATAACAGTGCGATCTGTCGGTTTTAGCACAGTGCTCATTCAGTAAAGGCACAGCTAAACAGACTTGATTTAAATGTGCTTAATGTTGGAGCACATCTGATCATTTCTGGAAGCTGATTTCAGCAGTCGGGTGCGTAATAGCTGAAGGCCGATTCACCCTGCATTGACTGAACTCTTGGAATTTCTAATTTACTTGATCCAAATGATCTGAGTGATCTGTTAGGTTTGTATTTAGTGAGCATTTATGTAATGTATTCAGGTCCTAGGCCATTTAGTGATTTATAGACAAGTAATAATACTTTAAAATCTATACTGAATGTAACTGGGAGCCAGTGTAAAGACCTGAGGACAGGTGTGATGTGCTCTGATTTTCTGGTTCTGGTCAGAATCCTGGCAGCAGCGTTCTGGATGAGCTGCAACTGTCTGACTGTCTTTTTGGGAAGGCCAGTGAGGAGTTCGTTACAGTAATCCACTCTGCTGGTGATTAAAGCATGAACAAGTCCTCACTGGAAACAAAGCATTTAATTGTCGCAATGTTTTTAAGATGATAGTATGCTAATTTAGTTTTTTGACCTTATTTGTTGTTATTTGACCAAAAGAGCCAAGCTATGCATTTACCTTGAGACCATCATCTCTGTTCCCAAATGCAATGACTTCAGTTTTCTTTTAAACTGAAGAAAGTTTTGGCACATGCAACTGTTAATTTAATTTATGCAAGCACACTTTACAACATACACACACTCCTTTATTCTGATTGGCTGATGAACATTCTAAGTCAGGGGTCTCAAACTCGCGGCCTGCGGGCCATTTGCGGCCCTCAGTGCAATATTTTGTGGCCCGCGCCGACCGATGTACTCTGACAGAATCAGCGGAGCGGGGAGAGAGAGCGCTCCCCGCTCCGCTGATTCTATCCGTACACAGCGCGCTTGTCACTCAATGCGCGTTGTCGCGCGCGTTCTGATCAGCTGTGTTGTCGCGCGCGTACTCAAGAGCGGGTGATATCACGCGCCTACTGAAGGGCGGGACCGAGGGTGTGTCGCGTCGCGGGGGCACTTTTGATCATTTTGGAAGGGCACTTTCTATGCAAGACTAAAAAGGGCATGTGCTCTGCACAGGTTGAGCCCTATGTGTGCACGTGCCTGCCCTGCATCTTATAATAATTGCCGTGAGATTGTGTTGATATTATAGGTAGATACAGACTGATGTGACTGGAGTGGGGTGGGGGTGTTTTATTTATACATATATACGCCTTTTTTTAGGTGAGGGAATGGAAGTTTTGAGTGAGTTCCCCCACTTTTTTCCCTAGGACTTCAATAAGTCAAAGTACAGGTCTAGACTTAATGATGATCATCTTCAAGCCATACTGAGGGTCTCAACTGCTTCCGCCCTAAAGCCAAATGTGGTTCAGATTTGTGAGAAGAAGCGCTGTCAAGTCTCTGGCAGCAAGAAGTAGGCAAAAGATGCCATGTTCAGAAGAACTGTTCATAATCTTCACTCAATGTTCTATTAATGTTCAGGACACTTCATGTTCAGAAGAAATAATTAAAACTGTTAATAATGACATTTGAGGACTTTTTTTTGTGAAATCCCTTATGCGGCCCAACCTCACCCAGACTTTGCCTCCTGCGGCCCCCAGGTAAATTTAGTTTGAGACCCCTGTTCTAAGTAGTCTATGGGTATAGTATATATATATATATATATATATATATATATATATATATCCGAACGCTGAATTATTTTTGTTATTTCATAAAATAAAAATAATAATAATGCATTTTTCTAATAACTCAAAGGCCTTCCATTAGTTATTCCTTATAAACTGTATTGTATGCAACAGCTCATCCCTACTTACCTACTGTGGTTTATAATAGCTAAAAAAAATTTCACATTTAAATAAAACCTGACATTATGTGATAAAACAATCCTGACATTCTGCCTTCAAAATACAAAATGTTTTTCCTACATTGCAGAAATACTTCAACTTAAAAAATTACCTCTCTCTAAAGTGAGCAAGCTATGGTTGCAGTAAGATCAACAGTCCTCTAGTGGCTGGTTATTAGGGCGGCTTTTACCAGTTTGTGTGTGTGTGTGTGTGTGTGTTTGTGTGGCTGATAATAGTCTTACTTTCCTCCAGAACCCTAAACGAGTCTGGCTTTCAGTAAGTGAAGAACGGAGGCCTCCAGGGCTCCATATTGCCCAGGTGGTGCGATATGAGCCTGACACAAACAGCCACACACGCTTCCCACTCCTCCATTGATTATGTGAACGCATGTCTGTGTCCCTGTGAACCGCGACTTCAAACGCTCTCCACGCAGATGGAGTCAGTGTGCATTAAATCCTTTTTTTGTGTCTTTCATCTGATGCGGTGTGTATGTGTGTGTGGGCCAGGGGCAAAATTGATGTCTTTTGCGGCCTTGTATCCCACTCCAGAGCAGACACAGGTGTTTGCTGGAACCGCACAGATGGATACTCGGTCTCTCCATCCCTTTTAAGAGCGAGAGGGAGAGAGAGAGACCCAAACACAAATTAAAGGCATTAGGCTGAAACAGCTGCTCCAGTTCACCCCAAAGTGGAGGCTTAATATCATTCAGTCTTAAGCAATTGGTCGCCTGTTTCCTCTCCATTAAAGCCATCATTTAGAACTCATCATGTTCATCTGAGCACTCGTTCAGCCATACTTCATTTCATGGTATATACAGTTGTTCAGTATTATTGCAAGCGTTATTGCCGGTTTGTAGTGAATATGGTGATTTGCTAGCTCAGACATCAGGTTTGGTGTACTTTTTAATGTAACGTATGGGGAATGCTAAGCTCAAGAGGCCTTGAGGTTTAACATTTAGTTTCTTTCTGTCTTTCAAGTGTTTAATTGTATATAAAATGGGTCGTGTGTGTTGTTTGTGTAACCCTCATAAAGCATTTAGGACACTGAAGAGATATATAAAACATGTTTTAACTCAAAAAGTATAAAATTCTCTAATTTTTATCGGAATATTGTCTCAGTTGTTAAATTCTTTTTGTAAAGTTATAACCATTTATAAAGTAATACTAATTTTGAACAAAAAAGGTTGTGTAAATCTAGATCAACTTCTTTAGTACAATATTGACTACCCCTGCAGCATGGCATGCATTTACAGTTTACAGAATATTGCATCGTAAAAAATTCCCAATGGTTAAAAGGGAGTCAGTTATGTAATAACATGGTTGTATTTTTTATTTTTTATTTTTTGCTCATTCACTTATTAATGAAAGTTGCAACAGTTGCATACAGAATATGATAGTATCATAAAAATGTTATGTTTCCAAGATTAAATAAGACACACACACACACACACACACACACACACACACACACACACACAGACACACACACATAGACCAATTCAACTCATACTGATAATAATCCTTAAATAATATTAAAGATAATTAATAATAAAACTATTGATGGTAATAATAGTAATTTATACTATCAAATTTGATCTATATTATCGATATTGTATCTAAATCTATCAAATTATATATATATATATATATATATATATATATATATATATATATATATATATATATATATATATGTTCACTTTCACTTTCCTTCACAATTCACCAACCCTCTTGACTATCGTCCACGACAACCCCCCTAACGATCCAAAAGGGATACATTTTGTAATAACAGTGGTTTTATTTAATTTTTTGGCTCATTCACTTGATTATATGTGATGCAACAATTGCACACAGAATATGATAGTGTCATCAAATTTTTATATCAAATTTGATCTATATTGTCTATATTGAATCTATATTAAATTGGATCTACATATATCCATATTATCAATTTCATCAAATTTAAATATGTATGTATTTTTCATTAAAAAAGCAGCTTTGAACTTTAAATTCAACTTTTAAAAACTGTTGAACATTTAAGCAGAGTTTAAATTCAATAGAAGTTTTATCATTTATTTATTTATTAAGAAAAATATTTACGAAAAAAAATAACATGTAAATCCGTATAATGTCATTATTGCGTTTTTCACTAGACTTTTCAATATGGTAGAATCACTAACATTCTCTCTCATTGCTTATTTATTTATTGTTTAATGCGCTTCCAAATATAAGGTGTTTCTGTTTGTTAAACATAAATTAAAACTGCAGCCACTTGACAATCACTACTGTCCACTAAAATCCTAGTAAATATTACCAAATAACAGTTAAATTGCATATAATGCACTCAAGCACATGTGTCAAACTCAGATGCTGGATAAGTGTAAACACACTTGATCAAACTAATTGAGTCCTTCAGGCTTGTTTTAAACCTACAGGTAAGTGTATTGAAGCAGGGTTGGAACTAAACTTTGTCGGGCTACGACCCTCCAGGAACTGAGTTTGACACTGCACTAAAGGATAAGTAAATTTAATTCATCCAAATTCAATTCAAATTAATAAATCCGAATCACCTTAATTTTACAATCTTTAAGTCTAACAAGTTACAATTTACTCAAACCGATTTGATTTCCCGTAACAACCTATAAAACACACCACAACTAATGTAAGCCTTAATCCTCATTCTGACACACAGACAAGAATCATTCATGCACATTCTCAAATTTATATGAGGGCACCTGAACAGACTTGACTAATCAGAGACTTCAGCCATACATACAAATCTGCAACACACACACACACACACATAGCAAACAAGAGAGAAGAACATCTGCTGCATCCAGTGGAGTACCAAAGAAAGGCTCTCCATCTCCCAGATGCTGTGGTTTTACCAGCCGTCCCTGATCAATTAAACGCCTACAGCAAATTCCACGAGAAAGGCTGAAAGACTGAACATTTGCATTCCATTTCCATATTTGTTCAGTTTCCCGCTCTAAAAATGCCATTCAGATGTTAAAATGAAGAGCGAGTTTGTGTGATAATTATTTTGCTTCTCAATATTCACTGTGATATTGTTCAAAGCGTGATATATCGCTTTTGTTTTGTGCCATGTCATGTTTTCTGTTTCTTTCAGCTGACATTGACACGTTTCCCAAATGTGTGTTATTTATGTGTGTGTTTTGGTTTGTTTTAAGTTGAAGGGAGTCCAGCGGCCAAGAAGAAAGATGAACAGGAGCTGAAGAAAGACAAGGGAGACGACCCGCTAGTCCTTGGTAAGATTACACATCATTCACACGCTGTTTTCCTCACTGGAGATAAAGGAAACATCAGCCCAGACAGATTACAGAAAAAGGGCATAGATTTATAAGACACACAAAAAACGGACATAAAACAATAGAAACTTAGGGATGATTTGAATATTTTATCATATTATCCAACCGTATCTGCTTCTGTATATAATTATTTGCATGGCAAGTGTTATCTGATAATTGTGCATTTTAATTATTGCAGCAACTCTGTAGCTTTTTTCCTCTTCTGCTACATTGCCTGAGGTTTTATTTTGTGAGTCTGGTTGTTCCTCTCACTGATAAGGCAAGTGATTATTTATAGATAGTTATGAGTAAAATTGCTTTACATTCACAGAAAGTTTAATTACATGCAGAAAGTTTTCTGGGATATGTGACTCGATAACTGTATCAGCACTGATCAAAGGAAGTCTGAGAATTTGTTAATTCATTAATTTATAAAGTTTATCAGTGAATTTTTAATAGACTGATTATTGATTCTGCTGGTGTTATGTGTCTTTAACTGATATAGACTTAAATCTTGTGCCCTTGGTATATATGTAGTAGTGACCTTTTTAAAGATTTAGGGCCCTATCATACACCCGGCGCAATAAGGCGCAAGATGTGTTGTACGCTCTCCACTGAAGACATGCAAGAGCCTACATAATTAATTTTAATTGTTCAGCACAAAGGTTTGTTTTAAAACTATTTCTAAATTCAGTTCTAATTTTCAGCAAATTAATAAATGAACAATAATAACAAAGTGTGGTCAATATCCAAACACACGCCCTATGCCCCTTATGGTCAAACACCTGACAGGTGGACAAATCTAAGCTTGTTTTTAACGAAACAAATATGAATGTGCATATAGTAAATAATAGTAGTGGGTTTTACATTAATATTTATTTAATATATTTTACATTTGTAAATATATGTGTGTATTGCTGTACATCCTGTGTGTATTAAGCAATGTGTAAGCGAGGCACACAACAAACGCACTCTGAGCTGGACTTTAGACATGTTTTCAGCTGGTTTATTGCACAGTATTTTAGTTCAAATAAGCAAAATAGCTCTAAATAGCAATGTGCCAACAATGCGCCTTAACACACCTCTTTTCTCCCAGAACACCCATGAGTTTACAAAGTGGTGCAAATGGATTTGCTATTTGGAAAATGAGAAAATTAAAGTTGTGCTGGTCTGAAAATAGTAACAAGTTGGGGCAATCACGTCTTGCGCCTTATTGCGCCGGGTGTATGATAGGGCCTTAGCTGTGCATATAGCCCATTACCTTGAACTAACAACGAACAACTGTATTTTCTCAATGTTGAATAACATGAACAAATACTTTAGTAAATGTATTGTTCATTGTTTGTTTGTGGTTGTAAATTCATTGCTCAACATTAACTAATACAACCCTATTGTAAATTGTGTCCAAATAATATAATGTAATTGCTTTTGTGACATTCAGCAGCATTAATAATGGATTCAATGGTTTGAAACACTGTTCTTTTCATCAAAGATGTGAAAGCAAACTTTACCCTCTCAAAAACATGAAACAATTTTTTGTATCGATTTAGATTTTATGTACTATATATTACGGCTGGACAATAACATGATCTATAACAGGGACATCCTAACAGTCCTGGGGGGCCGGTGTCCTGCATTTTTTAGTTCCAACCCCAATTAAACACACCTGAACTAGCTAATCAAGCTCTTTCTAGGTATGCTAGAAACCTCCAGGGAGATGTGTTGAAGGAAGTTGGAGCAAAACTATGCAGGACACCAGCCCTCCAAGACCGAGTTTGGACACCCCAGACCTAAAATGACCTTTTTGACCTAAAATCAAAACCTAGATTAGTTTAACAGCTAAAGTTTGAATGTTGAATAATTGTTTTACTTTCAATGTAAATATTTATATGCTATTTTGTCTCCTTATAGTTCATTATGTAATCATTTATACCAGTGGTTCCCAACCTTTTTTGCCTGAGACTGCATTTTTTCCCCAGAAAATATTGTAAGGCCCCCTCCTTAATGATATAATCGCTCATATAGGTTTGCAGTAATGATGACAAAAAATGTTTTATTCAAACAAACGTTATGTTTACCACTATATCTAGATATGCTTATGCACAAATAATAACCTAATGTTTCCCAGACATGGGTTGCCTCAGGAAAGGCAATCGCTGCATAAAACATGCTGGATAAGTTGGTGTTTTTTTCAAACTGCAGTGTTTGGGTGTTCTATGTTGAACAAACTTGTGCAAACTCTTGAAATACACGATATGCCGCCATCATTTGCAATCTCCATCTGTTGATCTACTTGCACAGCCATGGTGGATTCACCTGATTTGTTGACAATTGGGTTGCAGATCTTTGGGTTGCAGGTCGCAGGTTTATACAGTCATTGGACGCAAGTGAAAGTACTGTCATTTTTCAAAATAAAAGACTTTTCAAAATAAACGATTGTTCAGACTCAGATAATAAATAAAACGGAAATAATTAACGATTTCTTGTGCAGCCTAATACCAATTGATCCACAGACCGGTAGTTGAGGACCACTGAGCTACGTGATAAAATGAAATAGAGCAACATGCTCATTCTCCTAATTGTCCACTGCTAAGATTTTTTCAAATATGACGCGACCCCCCACAAAGCTCGCTGAGGCCCCCTTGTGGGCTGAGACCCCCCCTGTTGGGAACCGCTGACTTATACTGTAAATATACTCAACTATTAAAGGTAGGACATTATTTATTTTCTTTGTGATTTGTATTCGAAAGAAACAAACTATTTATGGTTATTTAGTGAATATTTCACATATATGCGAGTTAAAATATGCATTTTAAAGTTCTCTTTTAATAGTCTGCAATCATGACTCAGCTTGGATGCTGAAGAATTTCTCAATTTGTCTTGAAAATCCTCTTAGAAAAGCCATTACAAGTTTGCAAATATGGCATTGTGTGTACTGTTTAACCATTTTTTCACTCAAACATCCAAAGCACTATTGTCTTAATATGTATTTGCTAGCTGTGACCACACAGCCTTGTTAAATACAGACATCTTAAATCTGAAAACAAAACTGCACATGGTGTTTTCTCAAAGGCGTATGCTGTCAAAGAGCTGTCAGCCGTTTAAAGCAGTACGAGTGGGCAGAAGAACCAGCTATCATTTTTTTAATCTTCTAACTTTCATACAGGAGATCCAGTCATCTAAAGCACCTGGCAGATAGTAGATGCAGTGTATGTGTGTGTGTGCGCACGTGCATAAGCAACAGATGAGCATTATCAAGGCCCGCTCTCTCCTTTTGCCATTTCCGTGATCGATTGCTCTCCTCAGATGAGTCTGTCCTCCCCTCACTCTCGAGGGCAGGGCTTCAAATTTGTCTCAGAGCCCCATTATTAAAAATGATAACTGTAATCTCACCGGCTGCCGGATCTGAATGAGGAAATAAAGGGACAGTAATTCTGAACTGGATGAATTATGAATGGATTTTTTCGAGTCGGAAAGGACAATGTTATTGGATTAGTATTGTTTTTTTGATCCGTTAATATGTTAATCTGTCTCGTTCTGTCAAGGCGAGGAGAAAGAGCAAAGCCCAGGAAAGAAGAAGATGCAGAAAGGCCAGGCTGATGAAGAGGGGAAACCGGTGGAAGGTAAGATCAGTATCATTAAGAAACATACATGTTAGTGTCCTATTTTTTCTTTGATTTGAAAGTGAACACAACAATGAAAAGTGTTTCATGTTTTCCCTACGTTCATTGCAAAACATGTATGTTAAACATGTATTAATAAAATATTTTTATAATGTCCATAGTCAAACTGTTTTGCTAGCACATTTACTTCAATTACTGTATAAAAAAAACAGTCTAAGTTAACTCAAACTGTTTGATACCAACATAATATAAAATATCTCCAAAATATTAAAATAATACCTTCCTTCTAAAAAAAAAAAGAAATTATTGCATACTTAAATTAAATTCAGATAAAATATGATTTATTAATTGTTGCTATTTATATATTTACTTCTTTATTTATTTTTATATAATATATTTGTGAGCATGTGTGTGTTGAAGCCAAAATTATGGTCCCACTTTATATTGTGTCGCTTATAAACTGTGAACTTTACACAGAAACTAGATATGTAAGTAGTATGTAACTACAGTGAATGTACACACTGGTACAAAGTATTTACTTGTGTAATACTGGTGTAACTACACACATGTAAGGTCAAATGTGTAACAAGACATTAATAATTATTAACTATTCAGTGTGTTGTTACATGTGTGTAGTTACACCAGCATTACATTATATCTAATTTGTATTAGTTTTTTTTTCATTCAATTTTGATTAATAATTGCTTTTTTCAGTTTCAAGTTATTTAATTGTAATGTATTCAATGTGTATTTATATACCGATCTTATATACCGAATTTATCTTGTATGGCCATACACCCAAAGTGCTTCACAGTCAATTTAACTCATGTTTATTTCTATAGCGCTTTTGGAATGTAGTTTGTGTCAAAGCAACTTAACATAAAAATTCTAGTAAATTGAAAATGTGTCAGTCCAGTTTTTAGAGTTGAAGTTCAGTTCAGTGTGGTTTAAATTTCACTGCTGAGAGTCCAAACACGAAAGAGCAATCATAAGGGAGGGGTCTCTCCACACCACAACCAGTGTGCAGCCGATGCCACAGGACAATAGTGCCAGTGCGCTCATCACACACCACACCAGCTATAGGTGGAGTGGAGAGATAGTAATACAGACAATTCGGTGGATGGGGATGATTGGGAGGCCATGATTGGGAAAGGGCCGATGGAAGGAATTTGGCCAGGATACCAGGGTCACACCACGGGAAGTTTATATATAAACTAATTTCGAGAGGATGACGTGCTTATGATTAACCCTGGCTGGTCCCGCTTTAGATTTAATATGACTTACTAATCAGACGATTCCAAACATACGTAAACTGATTTCCTTACCTTAGTCATCTTTATCTTGAAGAATTCCTGCTTCCACCCCTACTCCTCCATCTCTTTCCTCGATTAATCCAGTATAGGTTGGCACGGCGGCTCAATGGCTAGCACTGTTGCCTCACAGCAAGAAGGTTGCTGATTTGAGTCCCTGCTTGGCTAGTTGGTGTCTGTGTGGAGTTTAAATGTGTTTTCCAGTGCTTGTGTTAGTTTCCCTCGGGTGCTCCGGTTTCCTCCCACAGTCCAAAGACATGCAGTATAAGTAAATTGAATGAACTAAATTGGCACAGTATATGAGTATTTTAGTACTGGGCATTCACCCCATAAACATATGCCGGTGTACATGGTGGTTCATTCCACCAGGGCATCCCCTAATAATCAAGGATTAATCCAAACAAATAAATTTTCAAAGCTTTCAAAACCTACCTGAGCTCAGACACCCCTCTCTCCCAATGAAACAAAAGGAAGCCCCGACCTCAAGGATCTTCTGAGCTCAGGGCTCTCCCCCAGGACAGCATGCCAAACACGCTTTATTATCAATCATCAGCTAAGAATGAACTCTTGAATACTCCTTACAAGAAGTGCCATGGGATTTTTGATGACCACAGAGAGTCAGGACCTCAGGTGATTTGGCTGTGGCCATTATTGGTTGCTGTATTTTTTTTTTTTCTTCAGTAGAAGGGTACCAACAGTTTAGTTCACTTCTGTATACTGTGTATATATACTGTGCTGTGCATACTGGCATGTCTGGAACGTTCAATTATGGCCACTATTTGTGTACACAAAACTTGATTAAAGTGTTATGTACACAGTTAATGAATAACGATTCCCATTTAGACACAAGCAACAGACTAATATACACACACAAACCCACACACACTTAAAGACGGCAGTACCAGATGTTAGACACGGAGAAGGTGAGATCGATACAACATATTTAAGAGGATAAAGCCAAGCTCAACACCTCACCATACGGTGCTTTTAACAAAAACACGCTCACGTTCACACACAAACAGCCTACAATAACACCTCAGCCGAGTGTTTCCGAGTGCTGTTGGCACATGGTCATTAGGCCACCGTTGCCAAGGTGTGTTAGCTTGTGGAACTTAGAAAGTCTAATGCGTGTCTGTGTTAGCATGAGGTTTAGTTAAAATGACAGACTTACATACCTCAGAAAAAAATATCATTAACATGGAGCCCTCAGGTTCAGAGACTTTATTCAAAAATCTATATTAATCATAGAAGCATACATTTGTTGATAATGTAGATTCTATATGCCTTTTCTGCCTGTACTTTTTTAAAGCAACAAAGAAACAAGTTTTTTTCCTTCACTAAAAATGTAACCCTTTATCAGTTTGTTTCTTTAGATTTAAAATATAAAAAAAGATTTTTAAATAATATTGTTTTTTTATATACTTACCCATAAATCTCCACTTCTGCAGCCTAGACCTAACAGTCACAGTTTTATTCATAACATAAAATAAAAAGCATTTATTTTCTATTCATATATTCATCGATTCATTCATCCATCCATTCATTCATTCACCTATTCATTCATTCATTCATTCATTCGTTCGTTCTTTCGTTCGTTCGTTCGTTCGTTCGTTCGTTCGTTCGTTCGTTTGTTTATTCATTCATTAATTAATTAATTCATTCATTCATTCAATTATTCATTCATTCATTCATTCATTCATTTTGCCTTTGGCTAAATCTCTGATTTTATCAGAGCTTCCCCCAGAAACGCTTGCTTTTTTCTTTTTTTTTATTGCTTTAGTACAGTGTTACCCAACTTAAGTACTGTCATTTCTGTTGCATAGTAAAAATATCAAACTTTTATCATTCCAACTTTTTGCTATAGGTTTTGTTATAGACATTATTATTATAAAACATAAAATCATCAAGAAATAAAAGTTTGGAAAAAACAGTGCACTGCTTATATATATATAATAATATATAAGCAGTATACTGTGTATTTAAGATATATATCTCTTATTAAGAAATACATACAGTAATTGCCTTTTATTTACTGCCAGACTGCATGCAGAACTCCGAACTATTTTGTTTTCAACAAATTTTACCGAATATACAAGCTATTAAAATTAAATAGCATAATATATATAAATAAATTCTTGGGTATGTACCACCAGACAGCCTTTTCACAATTGAACAGAGTGCTTTTTGTTTTTCCATTCGTTATCACACTGAGAACAAGCATAGTTGTTTTATCATACTAAATGCATTTTAAAGGATACCCACAATGAAAATCATCTTTTTAAAGCTGTTTGGACAGAACTGTGCGACGTTAAAATAGGATCCAAATCCTACCTATTTCGAGGCCCACCGTGACGTAGGAGTGCATTTTTTCGCCCACCGAATTGATTGACAGCCGCGTATTAACATGTCTCTGTGGTAATGCGTATAATCATATCAACAAGACAGGACATGCGCAAAGCAACTGTGATTAAAAGATCTGTTCAGCTCACTGTGATCATCAATCATCATCAAATGTGATCAAGAATGAGCTTTACAAGTTTAAAACGTTTTTAAAACAGTGCATGTTTGTAGTAAATTACAACGATTTTACCGTTTTTATCACCATAGCCGTATTTCAGTACAATTATAAAAGAAGACGATTCAATCCTGGTTTGTGGACGTTAAATCAGGTTTATTTTGTACATTATGATAATGTATATTGATACAACAGTGGATATTAACATGTATCCCAATAATCATTGGAAAAGTTCTTACTGTACTATTTCTCACAAACATGAGATCTGCTTCCTTCATGTCTGTCACTGTGCTGTTTATCTGAGCCAGAAATGAAGAAACTCTGATAGGCACATGGGAATAGTGGGCATGGAGAACTAGCATTTAAGGCACAGGCAACAAAAACAGCTACATTGTGTTAAGAGCAATATTTCAGTATTCTGAAAGGTATAATAAATAATTGGGTAATAATAATAATAATAATAATAATAAATAGATGGGTGTTTTGGCTGAAACTTTACAGACACTCTCTGGATATGCAAAAGATTTATCTTAAATCTTGAAAGGGAGTAAAATAAGTGACCTTTAGGTTTTTGTTACAGTGCCATTCTGTGCAGTCTAACAAAACACAACTTATTGAAGCCTCTTTGGTGTTTTCCTTTTTTCTATAAAATCAAACTGGAAATCCAGAGTGTATGATGTCATTAGCATGTCGATATAAGACACAGTTAAAATGCTTATTTCTCTGGTCTAAAATTCTTTTAAACATTTGGGATAAAGGAAGTGCATGTCAAAATATAGAAATCAGTTCTAGTGTTTTTTTGGATATTTTAATGAAAACATCTCACACATTGTGCCTTTATGCAGTCAGTATCTGTAAAAGCAATGTGATATCCTTAAATTTGTCCTGAATCGAGTCTTTGGTTCAACTTTTCCCCTCAACAGGTGCGTTATGGTTGACTCGGAACATTTTTTTAAAATTCAAAAGAAAAAATTTCTTAGCCTGAAGGTACCTATGAATAAGTCTGGCTTTGCTTATGGAGGGCATTTTTTGTGGCTCCTCCATTCCTCCTCTTCTCTAAGATTTACTGCAGCGACTGCTGAGCCTCAGCAACTCTGAATCCAATCACAGTTTGTCTCCTCATTTCTCACTGTCTGACTGATGAAGGTGCTTTTTTTTCATTCTGAGCTTCAGCC